GCTTACCCCGCAAACCCAGCCACGCGTCCTGAGGGAGAGGGGCACATGCAGCAGCTGCACGCCGCAGTCCGTAGTCGCGGCCGTGTCTCCCACGTCCATCCCGTCGCGTGGGTGCGTGCCAGGTCGGCGCTAAGATCTGTGGCGCCAAGCTCGGCGTCAAGACCTATAGCTCCTGGCTCGGCATCATGTATTCTGGCGTCGAGGTACCGGCCATGTCAACGCCACCTAGGATGTCTGCTGTGTACGGCCAGGCACCTCGGAGCCAAGATCTGCGGCACCGAGACGTGTTACCTCGGCGCCATGAGTCCTGGCGCTGACCTCTATTGTCCAAAGATGAGATTACGTCTCCTAGGGGGACAAACATAAATTTTCTTTAAAAACAGGATCAAATTGTAAAAAATTATGCAAGTTATGTACACGCGCGCTACTACTAGTAGAGTACATACATATATAGTAGTTCTAGTTAATTATCCACTTAAATTTACCTAGTATAGTGTCCGTGCTAACGCCACTGCTTTATTTTTTTTGGATGTACAAAAAACAAGCAAATGACGATATTATTTCATAGTTTAAGTTTTACACAATTTTTTGAGGGCAACCAGTTTCATGCAACAACATGGCATAATAAAGTTATGTCTCACCTGAACCATTGACGACACAAGAAAAGAGTGAAAAGAACAACACTTTATGCATGCAGCTCCTCTCCAGATCACCCAAATACGAATCATCTCGCTGGCACCTTCGCCCCCACCATGTGAATGACATATTTATGCTCAGTACATCAACAATGTCCTCCCAGTATTATGACTGCACCATCTAGCCGGAAAATCATATCCATCTTCTCCAGAAAAAAATGTGTCTGCATCACTCCTACCAATTTTGACACAAACATTTTTAATAGAAGGTACAATTTGCCTTTGCCTTACCAACCCAGGAGAAAGAACAGAGAACACATACTTCTTAACATGCCATTGCAGCAATGTACCAGGTTATATTACACAGGGTACATGAGAAATTTTACAATTGTTGAAAAAAATATGGACCATCCATGAGCTAGATCGGACGATGTAAAAATAGGAGGCACATGTGTAAAAGTACTCGGTACTAACAAATAGTGGGGATAGTACCAAAAAAGGTAGGACCAGTACAGAAACAAGTGGGGTCTGTTTCGAAATTATATGAATTTGTTTTTTTCGGTTAAGGGTATATCTGTAATTTCATTCTGTAATTTCAACCCCTTCATCGATGGCACAACATCATCCCATCCCATCTCAGTCTCACCGTCGATGGGAAGAGCAACCAGACCGTCTCCGCCGTTGCACCAGAGGCCGCTGGTTCCATCACCACAGCCAAGCGCCTGTCAACAGCAGTGCCGCCCGCAGCGGATGTAACCCGGCCGCCTGTGCCATGCTTCATCCCGGCAGGGTCGACATGTACTTACAAGCTAAGCCGCGCCTCTTCTTCACGTAGAAGGACGCCAAGGTGACGCCCGTGTCGGAAGACCTGCCGCAGCTCGTCGGCCATGCCGCCTGGAACGCGCAGCAGGCAGAACGCGCGCTCCGCCAAGCACAAAAGCTCCACGCATGCGCAACACTCCGACAGAACAAAAGCTCAGCTTCCTAGAGCTCCGGCAGAACGCAAGCGCAGCACCGTCACCGTGACAGTATGCGCAGTTTGTCCAAAAGCTCAGCTTCTTAGAGCCGCTAGCGAATCGGAAGAAAAATGACATTGCCTGTGAATCGGCCTCCTGAACAAGGCTGCCTCCGAGCAAAAAGCAGCTGCTGCATGCCGCGCGCTGAGGCGAGAGAAACAGTCAAACAGAAAAGAAAGAGCCCTCGTGAGATGACGGATATACCCCCATAATAAAAATTACATTTAATACATAATCTTCCTCAAACAATTGCTTGCAAAATAGGAAAAGCGAAAGTACCTGGAAGTACCGAAGTACTTTCCCAACCATTGTAGCACCTGCAAAAGTGCAACGTCGTACTTATATATTCATTAATGCAAACAAATTAATATAAAATATAAAGCCCAAAAAATAAAATTGTTTACCAACATGCCCAAAAATAAAAATATCAAGCACATGTCCAGCAATATATATCTACATGAGGAGTGATAAAAATGGTTTGAGTATACCCACCGTTAATCACCAATTCAAGGCATCTTTATAAATAATATTCTTGGTGCTCTTCCCTGTAGAATCCTATTCTTCTTTTGGTTTAGCCAAAATTCTTGTTGTTGATATTGATACCCCCTTGATAAACCAACATAAAGTTGTCCAAGCGAGAGCACGGGTTTTGGAAGATAGATCCCAACATTAGGGATGGTTTGTCCCTACGATTTATTTATGGTCATGGCAAAACTTAACCGTACTCGGAATTGTTTTCTCTTGAACTTGAAAGGAAGAAAAATATCATCTGAGGGAGACAACGGGGGCCTTGGTATGAAAACCCTTTTTCGCACATGTTGTACACCCACGATCTTGGCATCAATTGCATTGTTTTGCAATGCTCTGCATATAAGCCTTGTTTCATTGCACAATCAGCTGTTAGGATCAAGATTGCGGAGAAGAATCACAGGACAGTTAATTTTTAGCTTCAGCTCGTAAGGGAAGGCCATTTGGAGTTATCGAGTTCAAAAAATCAATAGAGAAGTGATTCTGAGGATCGTCAAGAACTGTTCGAAGCTGTAGTAAACCTTTTCCTCACCTGAAAACCTGTCAATCATCATTGCGTTCAGCCTATCAACATGTTCATTTTTAGTCGATAGAATGGCACGGGAGCTCATATAGGAGGCTGATGTTGCATGTTCTTCAAGTGATGGGAAAACATCTTGAATGAGTTTGTTGACTGCCACCTCCGTGTCAGTATAACCAATCACAATGTCAACATAATCATCTCCAATTGTTTCTTCGGTTTCATTTCCAATTCGTAATAGGTACTCTAAAAACCAAGGGAAAGACTGTGCCCTCTTGTTTCGTGACAATCTTATCTTCCTGAAATTCATCCACAAATAGGATCTTTGCAATTTAGCATCAGGTTACCTGTGCTCGTGTCCCACGTGTCACCACAGGAAGGACCCGTCTGAAGTCTCCACCAAATACCATGACCTTTCCTCCAAATGGCAAAGCACATTCCATAATATCCTGGTAGGGACCTATCAAGTGTCTCAACGCACTGACCCTTGGTCATGGCAACTTCATTCTAAATAATCAAAGATGCCCTACGAAGCAACTATGCAGTGCCACTTTGCTTCGTAAAGCTGCACATGCTGTTGTCCCCAATTTTAATTGGAATTTTAAACCTTGAGTGTGCAGTGCATCCTCTGGGCAATATCGATGCCGCTATACCAGATGTGGCTGTTGCAATGGCTATTAATCCTTCGGACCGAACTCTAGCAAGGAGGGCCTTGTATAGGAACATCTTGCCCGTGCCTCCAGGACCATCTATGAAAAAAACTTGGGCTCTTATTAGCAAATACATGCTGAATGATTTCATCAAACCCTTCACGCTGCTCCTTGTTAAGAGATTCACAAATATCTAAGTGTTCTTGGTCTATGGTGACGTTTTGTTCCTCTCTAACCTCTTTCATCATGTCATTGGAGCTTTGACCCACGTCGCAAACAGGTGGCAGACCATAATCTCTAATATCCTTCCCCATTGAGTGAATTATATTCCGTATGTCTCAGTATCTCTCTCCTTCACCAGGATTTGCGTAGACAATCTACCCTATCTGTCTTGACGTTTGTTTCCTTGTTTGCCACACTTTTTTCCCTTTGATGCAATGGTAGTATTCTGGAAATTCTCTGTACAATATTTTTCTTGCTGTCATATCTTCACTGTTTTTCTAAAATACTCGCCAAGTGTGGTCCTATTAGAACCTGGCCGACTAACAACATCCTCTAGGTTTTCCTCCGCATTATATGTCACGGACTGCATGTCAGGCAAATATAGTTGGAGCTGCAATATAGCATGATAGACTCCAAACATTGGGGAAACAAATGTCCTGTGCACATCTTCTGGTGGAGATATGTATCTATCATTCCTATACTGCCGTATCTCATTGATGACACCATCATCTCTCTCATGTGGGTCTGCATTATTAACCGTCAATGATGCTTGGTCATGGCCTTTATAGACGTACTTAAATAGATACTTCACAGCTTTAATGCTTGAGCATGCTTCAACATTTATGTTCCCGTTGTATTTCATGAGAAGACCAGGGTTGTACGGCACCAAGACCAGGGTTGTACGGCACCACCCACCTATTATCTAACTCCGCTCTCCTAATCTTTACTCGGCGTCCATCATCCCTGGATATGAGTCATTTCCTTGTTGGGTTGCCTCACAGAACTGTTGAGGATAGTGAAAGCAGCACTCTCCATCCACCATACATGCGCAGTTTTTATTTAGCACACCACATGGTCCCTGCAATATATGACTGATAACTAGAACATGCAACTTTGAGTATCTGTCCTTGTTTGGGATCTCCACTGAAATTACTCGATCATATGCATTTGGGGTTGTCAACTTACCCCCTGACTTCTTGTAATTCTTTTCATTGAAACCGAACAATATTCACACGAAACTAAATACAGTGGATATCCGAATTCAAACTAGCTATCCGACTCATCATGTATTCATGTAAATTCACTTTTGGCGAGTTAATGATCGATATTGAAAAAAGACGTTAATTGCTGAGTGTCAGTAAAGAGAGTACAGACAGATCTGCGTGATTTGTATCTCGGGCAAATGCACGCTCACCTCAACGTGTCCGTCGTCGTCGGCCACCGACAGCCGCCACTCCCCGGTGCCAGAGCCGAACGCCTGGCCATTCCCAGCCCACTCCTCCCACGCAGCCATGGCCTGATCGCTGACGCCGTCGTACTCCATGCCGACCACCCGGTGCCCGAAGCGGATGCAGCCGAGCACGCCGGAATGGCGCGCGTACGCTTCAAGGTAATGCCACCACCTGGCGGTGGTTCGGGAACACCTCCGTCAGACCGTCACGCTCTCCGGCCACGGGAAGTCGGAGTACTGGTACATGGGCCGCGGCGTCTGGAGCTCGGTGCCGAGCACGGTGTCCGCCTCGAAGAGGGTCGGACGGCCGTCGAGCTCCAGGAGGTCCTTGCACACCGTGAGGCCACTGACGCAGGCCCCGACGATGATGACCACCCGCTTCTTCTCCATGATGCCTGCCGGCGGTGTGATGCTTGGCTTGGGTGTGCAGCTAGCTAGCGCGTGAGGAATCGGACGAAGCTGGCTGGTTGAGAGTGACGACCCTGATGAGTGAGGTGGCATCTTATAGGAGGGCGGTGCGAGAGGGCTGTCATGTTTTTTTTTAAATGAGAAATCATATCATGTTCAAAGATGCAGTTTCTGATAGGGTACGAAAAAGGTGATTTTGTTTATGGCGCACGATTTCAAAGATGCAGTTTCTTGCGTTTGGACTGTCTGTAGCTGGAGGTTCCTGATAGGGTACGAAAAAGCATTATTGCGTCGGGGTATTATGCTATTATTATGCTGAGTGACGATTGTACACTATCTTACTACTAGTATATTGTAACTCGTTCTGCATGCTAACTTTTTTTAAGAAAATTTTGCTAGAAAGTCAAACATCTAGGTCCAGGCTGGATCAGGGAGGAACACACCAAAATTGGATAGGGCCTGTTTGAATTCCCTCTTTTAAACTTTAGAGCTCTATTAACTTTAGTGCACTTTAGCTCACTCTAAACTTGAGAGCTTTATAAACTTTAGAGCTCTAAAAACTTTAGAGCATTTATATCACTTTTGAGCTCTAATGTGAGGTGGGCTAAAATTTAGAGCTAATTTTATACCATTTGTTTGGAGCTTTAGTTTTAAAGTTTAGAGCTCTAAAGTTTAGATGAGGAAATCCAAATAGATCGTCAGAAGTCCTGCATGTAAGGAATTGCCTGGCTAGTTTCTTGAGAAGAAGCTAAATCGACCACATAAGAGAAAATGACGGTAATTTGAAATGGAATGGAACAATGATCCTCAGTTTTCTGTGTCTGTGGACAATGGAGATTTCATTAATTTCTAACGTGGGGGGTACAAAGTAACCAGCTTAATTATTTCAATTTTTTTTATAACGGCTGCTAATAATAGGTAATCAATAGTCGTCTCATGTCATGTGCCATCTTTGGTACTTCATAATAAGAAATTAAGAATATGAGATCTTGTAGATCAGCGTGGGGTGCGTGCAATATTGTATTAGCAAAAAATAATCTACTGTTGAGCAACAGAATTCCAGTGACAAAAAATAGAGGACTGCTGGCGCACTTGCAATAATTGAATGAAGAATGCACAGCACAACCCTTTATAATGTGGATTGTATCACCCGGTTTTAACAACAAAACAAGATACACATCATATATGAGCCTAAGAAATCAAATCCCACATATAGCAACAAATAAGGGTAATATCAATAGACAATGCTTAATATATAACATTCTTAGTATAAAGAATATAACCTTAGATAACAAACTGCGGAATGACAACTCGATTTTCGGGTGAAGACTCCAATTCTATAGGAACAACTGACTGGTTGATCACAAGCCTAATTTCTCCAAACTCTAGCAATCTGGTACCCATCCGGGATTTTTATCCAAATAATTGAAAATAAAGCAAGCGTAAGTACATGTCGTACTCAACAAATATAACATGGGGCTCATGAGGCTCAAAAGGCTGACAATGGTTTAACTGCAATTAGCTTTTAATTGTCACAATTTTAGCAATTGAGTAGCAACAAGTTTATCACTAGCCCATGTAAACACATGATCACGTAAACATGAATAATGAATAGTATAAACAGTAATCATTAGTGAGTATCTTTATCATCAGTATTATCAATGTTCATCATCTATTCCATAAATGTTCCAATGCCGCTCGTGACCGTGAGCACAGCTGATATACCAGTTTTACACTCTGCAGATGTTGTACACTTTCACTGTGAGTCGTGATTTACCCTTTCGCCCGAGGTAGCTAATCTCTTGACCCATTTCCAAGGAAGGTCAGCAGGGTTCACTATGAAGTCTTTCAAAGGTTCGTCTAACAAGTTAGGGCCATTAGATTCACTCGGCAAATAGATGTAGAGCCCCCCTTCCCGATGGCACAATGACACGTAGCCTATACACAAGGGGACAGAGGCCGCACTATACCTGATTTGGGAAACCATTCTTACGCCAATAAATGTAACCACCAACAAGCTAGAAAAGGTCCTCATACTGAGCTAAAGCCAGAGCCATGTAGCCCTCATAGCTGTACTGTAAGTCCCGGATGACCACTTACAGATAAGTCCTTAGGGAGAGGAATCTAGAATACCATAAAATAGCCCAATGCTCTAGCCCCCTTTGTTTCATGTTGCTAAAAAGCATCTTTTAGTATTTATTATATATACCATTAGTCAAGTTACAAGATCATGGCTTTAGTTGAGCACTAGCATCATACTACCCAATGCAATAACCCATAGGAATCAAGGAATCTAGGATATCAAATAGCTAGGAAAATTATTACAGTTGCCAAGGTAGACACATGCATATGATTAAAATGATATTAAGGTGAATAGGACAACGAAGATCTCATGCTATACTTGCCTTAAAACACCGATCCTTCGGTAAGCTTTAATCTTCAATGTTCTTCTTCTTCTTCTTCTTGATCACCACGTATATTTCACCGACTGGACGTAATCATAAAGCACCACACAAGCATCCATACAATCATTCACAAAGCAAACAATAGAACTAAATCAGAACAGTACACCAATCATAGAAAAATAAGTAAAAGAGTTTGAAATACGATTCTACGCATCGCTACGAACACATAGTCGCAAGAAGCACTCTAATCGGAGCTAAGGTGGAAAAGATACATCTACCGATAGACCTGCTTTATACATGGAAAAGAAAACTATAGGCTTCATTTATTTTAACTATTGATAATAATATAAATTGAATTAAGTCAAATTTAGATTTGAATTATAAAACTAAAATAAAACAAGTCATATTTTATTTATGAAATCTAGTTGCATAATTATTATCCAAATTAGAAGTTAAACCATGAAATTCCAGTATTAGTCACATGATAAACATTGTCACTAACACGTAGATCTCGTTGTAATGAATCCAACACAATTTGAACGGGTCAATTCGGAGCTAAAACGTAGAAAAGATGAAATAAACATGATTTCCTTTAGTAAAATAATAGATTAAATCTAACCTCGAATTTTAAAAATTGAAAACCAACTTAACAGTAGTATGAACATGTAGATTATGGAATTACGAACCTAACGTAATTTGAACGGATCAAAACGGATTAAAAACAGAGATTTTATGGCTAAAACAAGATTATTGGCAAAACTGTAAATAGGTGAAAACGTACTTTAGATCTAAACCAAAGAAACTACGCTTTCCAAAGAAGAAAACGTAATATGTGATTGCACTTTGGACCGCAGGGTTTGAAAAAGAAAACTGGAGGGGCTCTTTAGCAAGATGGCCTGCGAAGGGGTGTGGGATGATCTAGACCATTGGATCGGAGATGGACGGCTCACATTAGAAGAGAGGGAGAAAGAGAGAGGAGAGCCGGTCGGAACAGTAGCCGGCGTGGTGGTCGGCCATTGTCGGCGATGGAGCTTCGCTGGAACAGCGATTCCGGGCACGGTTTACAACGGGAAGGGCATGAGCAGAGAGAGGGAGGCACGGCGAACTCACCGTGAGACTTCCTCGGGGTCGACGGTGGATCTTCGACGTCGTGCTTACGGCGGCAGCGGAGTTCGATAGCTAGGGCACGAGGCGGCGCGTGCAACTTGGGTGAGGTGGTGTAGGGCTAGCTTGAGGCGAGGCGGTATGGGATAGGGCGCGGGGTAGGCGGCATGGTGCGGGGGCTCGCTATTTATGGGATGGAGGAACTTGTGGCGCAAGGCAACGGCGGAGTCAGCGCGGGCACAGATTCCTCGACAATGGCGGTAGCGTCCGCTTCGGTCACAGCGGGGAAGAAAGGGAGGAGAGGCTGACTGCCGGGACCCGCCTATCGGTGAAACAAGGGTGCGGGGCCGACCGGTCAGTGAGATAGAGCAAGGGAAGGAGGAGGCATGGTGTGTCGGTGCTGGGCTGCGGCTTAGGCTGCGGGGATGGCTTGCTGGGCCGCATGGAAGAATGGGAAGGAGCAGGCCGTGGGGAAGTTGGGAGCGGGCCGAGAACGGAGGCACGGGGGAAGGGAAAAAGGCCAGCGGGGAAGAAGGCAGATAGGCCGGCCTGCTGGGCTACCTGTGGCCGCAGGCCAGAAGAGAGAGGGAGAGTTTTTTTCTTCTTTTCCTTTTCTATTTTCAAACCGAATTCAAATCTGAATCAAATCAAATTTGAATATGGTTTCAAATACACTTTTCAACTTAATTAAAAACAAGAAATTTTGGTAAGTTCTCAAAAATAAATTTTACTACCTTTTTAAATTCTTTTATTTTTCAATTCCTTTTTAACCTCTTTTCTTTTACTTCGAAGCCATTTTCAAATTTATTTTTCAAAAGCTTTTTGAATGTTTTCAATTTGAATCAAATCCACATAATTCAAAGAAACAAATGCACTGACATGTATGCACAAACATGTCGCTACCTTATGATAAATTTTAATTTAATGAAAAAAATTATTTTCCTATATTTCATGAGCACAAAATTTAGAAATTAATCATTTTAAACCTATTTCCAAAAGAGGCAAATTTTAGGGTGTTACAATTCTACCTCCCTTAAGATGAATCTCTTCCTCGAGATTTGGAAGAAGTCGACTAGGAGACAGGGATACTCCGTCTTTGGACTCTTCTTTACTTCCTCACATAGTTCCATCACCTTGATAAGGATCCCACTTTACTTTGCATACCTGTTAACCTTACTCCAAGTATCTTGCCAAACTGATTCCAAGATTCTGACAAGTACTCCATACCATACTCAGGTAACTCCAATCACTAGGCAACCTTTCCTATAATACCAATTCTCTTTCTTAAGATATTCTCCTTCCATTGGATCCTGACGAATCTCTTGGTTTAAAAGGAGAATCTACCACTAATCTTTAAAACATTAATGATTTTGGTCAAGTTGCTCGAACTTAGAATATAATTCTTAATTCTTGGTGTCACCCGAACTTTCTTAGCATAATTCTCCGTTGCTAAGGGCATCGGCAATGACTTTG